CCTGTAGCTATCACTTCTTCTCCTCTCTCTTTCCAAACACATGACAGACTAAAATGTGCTGCTGTCATTTTCTTCAACTGACTGAATTCTTACTCTGCTATAAACCTCTGTATCCAAGGAGCATGACCAACAGCAATTAATCACATTTTGTTCCTTATTGCTCACTTACTTACTTTTACCTGAGTAAAGTGCAGACAACTGAAGAATTTGCTATAAATGCATCAACATTATCAAAGATTTTTAATAAGCAGTAAGTTACGCTGATTTTAAAAGGGTGATGGGAACTCAGAATTTTCACAAATCCCTTGTCTTCTTTTCTTTACCAGACCTTTGGCCAAATGAGGTGCCCTAGCTGCCAGATATTTAACTAATTGACGAACAGGGCCACTACACTTAATGACAAGAAAGCATTTCCCACAAAGGAGTCCTTCCTTAATCAGGAACACCTAAAAAAAAAAAGTCATGGGCTGTTTTAGTGGGTTGACAAATGACAAACATTTGGCATTATATGAAAAACTGGTTCTAGTCCCAGCACACAAGATTTAAAAGTAATGCCAAGCCTAGTGTGTACAGCATACTGTAGAAGAACCGATGCTTCTTTCAGTCAGCATCAAGGTCCTGCTGTAAGGCATTTTTTACATGCTCACTCATCAATCACAAGCCAGCCCCATTTTTCACACAGTGATAATTACAAACTCATTTTTGTCGACTTATTGTCACTGACACACACACGTCGCTGTCTGTTTAATGGATTTTATTTGTGAGTAGATCTATCTCCATGAAGCAGTTGCTCATCTTTATGCAACAAGCAGTAAACAACTGTGGTCTCAGTCATGAAGGTGTTGATTCTTATCCTAAGTAAATCAGACTTTGTAAGCTTTTCCAGCAGAGCCAAGTACCTAAATGCTAATGCCACTGCTATTTTTCTTTCTTTGTATTAGACAAACAGAAGAAAAGGCAAGGCACACCTTTGTCAAAGTCCACTGCCTCATGTGAAAAAACACAACACCCTATAATCCCTCAGCAATACAGCTGTGAACATCTTACAAAATCCTAAAATGTGTAGATGGAATTAGAAAACAGGGCAGCATAGTGGCACACTGGTTAGTGCTGTCATCTCAAAAAGGTTCGCAAGAAGGTTCCGGGTTTGTGCCTTTCTATCTGGAGTTTGTATATTCTCCCTGTGCCTGCGTGGGTTCTCCCCGGGTGCTCCGGGGACTTTATTTAGGAATAAGCGGTACAGATAATGGATGGATGGATAGTGGAGAAAACCTGGATGACCAAGACACAACCCAGTGCGATATTTAACACTCAGCCACATGTTTTTTCTTGCACCATGACCTTGATAGGTTTCCCCAGGAAGATTTAGCTGTGTGATTCCTTGATCATCTGAGCATAGCCCCCCTTCTGCTGCTTCCTTGTTTACTTCTCTTCTTTGCCCTTTCCCCTCCTCCTCTTTTAACCACCAGCCTTCACTCTCTTTTTTTACACTTTGAAACACCTCTCTTGTCCTGTTAATACATTTAGATTTTAAATTATGTTTACTGCCCATGTGTGTGTGGCTATATGAGTGTGTGGGTATGTTATGAGATTAAAAGTACTGGTGTACCAGGGTTTTGCACTAAGCACTTGGAATGAGCAGCTATTTGTTGTGGATAATGTGCTTTCCAACTTCCCTGACTTGTATCCAATCATTTATATTTACAGTGCCTTTTTGTCATCTTGCAGATGCTTACATCCACAGGGACTTGCAATAACTGCAGCAGTAGAATAAACCTAAAATAATATATAGCCAGCAGTAGCTACAGCAGTATCAGCAGACAGTAGGGAGGGGAGAGGCCAAAACAGCAATGTCCAGATGATAGAAACTTATGTCTGTGTCTTTGTGATGTTCATGTATCAGTAAACACAACTACCTGGTTACTCCTCTCTGTTCTGTACCTCAGCCTCTCTTGTTTCACTTTCTCCTCTGTCTGTCAGGCCTTTCCTCTCATTTTCTCTTATCTCCTCTCCTCTGCTCTCATCTCCCCTCTGTCGTTTAGCTCGGCAACCTCTCCTTTCTGTCTCTCCTACTCCACGTGGCTCTTTGTTTTACCATCATGAGTTTTTTGTAGGTGAAACGTTCACTCCTCTCTTTTCTCCTCCCATCTCTATCCTCTCCTCTCCTTCCAGCTTCGCTTGCTTTCTCATTTATCTCCATCCTTTGTAATCTGGTATCCATACTCTCCAACCTCATTTAGTCATGCCTCCTTGTCTCACCCTTTTTCACTTTCGACCTCTCCTCACGGCCACTGTAACCTCTCTCCTCCTGCTCATTTAAGGGAATTTCCCACTCTCACCTCCTCCCCTATGTCCATTAGCCCCAATTTTTTTTTCTGCAGGTTTTCTCAGGTTTGTTTTTTCCAGCCTCTATTTTCTGTTTGTCTTTTCTCTGGCTTCTTTCTCTCATATTTCTTTGATGTCATTAAACCTGCTTTACTGTTTTCTATTTTTCATTATCTGGCTCCCCTCTCTTCTTCATCTCCATCTCCACATAATCTCCGTGCTGCAGGAACTGGCTATGTCTTCTTGTATCAGTTTCTTCTCTCCTTCTCTCCTCATTTCTTTCTTCCTCTTCCTTTCACTTCAGTGTCACTGTTCACTCCTCCTCTCTGGCCTCTTGTCTTTCTCTTTCCAGTGTCAGGCACCTGGTTGGTCCCCTTGAATAATGGAAGAGATGCAGCACATTGCACACTTTTTTTGTATTGTCTATTGTGTCTCTCTCTGCTTTCATGTTATCTCCAACACATACATGGATTTTATTGATTTGAGATTGTTAAATTTAGTCTTACATCAACCTGCAACTATGCATCCTTGTAATTCTGTTCATTTAGGATACGATGCTCATTTTTGTCAACAAGCCCTAAACGTAATCATTGCCATTTTGAATGCAAAACTTTTCAGAGTATTTTTAATACTGTTTCACTACCTTCACTTAAGTAAAGGATCTGAGTACTTCTTCCACCACTGGTTCTAAATGTCCCTTAAAGGGGCCCCGAGGTACGTTGTGATTACTGAGAGAAGTCCTGTAATCTCCGATGAGTGTGACCACGTTGGTCTGTCCCAACACCTCCTCCACTTTAGCGTTCTCATCCAAGTTGTGTATCTTGGTTATAGAGGTGACTCTCGAAGGCAGTTCATGCCTGCAGTCTTTGGATGCATTGTGAATCATTTCAAGCAGACCCTCGTCCTCCACAATGTCCACTGGCCTGTAAGATGTAGTTTGTTGCTTGTAAAGTTGTCCATGTGTCTTCATTGCAAACTATCCAGTGTGGTCTGTCTTTGATGAGGGAGGAGGGCTCTCTGCATCAGCTGTGTGCTTGGCCAGCAAGTTGTATTTGAGACCCGACACACTCCGGTGGTAACTCAGTTCACATCAACAGTAAATGCAAATAACTTTGGTCTTGTTGAGAGAACCATCTGGCAGGGCTTTGAAGCTGAACTTGCCACCCAAAAGACATATTTCTTTAACCATTTCTGCTCAAGGTGTTTTGTTTATGGTTGTCATCCACAACACTGTTGCTGCAGTGCTTCCTGATTTCCCAAATTACGGGGTGGGCCAAGGGTCATAATCACAGAATGTATGTGCATTAATCGTATGTCAAAAAAAATTGTGGCCTGGTCTCTTATAATACACACTTAGTAAGGTCCTCTAAAAAGCATGCTTAATATGTTTTACCACCTCCTATATTTGGCTTTTGCTTTTGTCCCTCCGTTGCTGTCTTTTCTATCAATATACCTGCAGCATTTTAAAAGGCAGTTACAGTGGCTCTTGTTGCTCCAGGGAAGATGGCAGGACATTATCTTCTGAGCAGTCTCTTAGATTATATATTTATTTTTTTGCTGTATATCATTTTCCCACATGTTTTAAATTTACTTATTCATTTGTTTTTATTTAATGCTTTGGTTGCCATTGGTAGTGAAATTTCAGCGCAGCTAAAGCTGATGCAACACTTACAATAGGCAACTAACACATTGTCTCAGTGGTAATGCTTGAGAAACTGGTTTTGAAGATGTGAACTTTGCTGACTTTCTTCTACTTTGCCATCTCCATTCACCTCTTCTGCTTTTCTGTTTCTCTTTTCTCCTCGTCTCTTTCTTGTCTCTATTGTAAATAAATGTAAGAGACTGTTCTATTTCATAATTAATATATGATGTTCTCTTGCCTTCCAGTTAGTTAGAACCCCCTGCATTTAGTACAGAGGATTGCTGAATATTGCTGAATATTCCCTCAGCTAAACAGTTAAACACACGTAGACATGGGAGTTAGACTGTACCCACACAACCTGCCTTTGGTTGGTGGGAATGGATGATATCACTAATTCAATTTTCAGTTTCATTTTCTATTTCAATGGAACAAATTACCTTTCAGATTTTGCCCCCCTTAAATTACAGCCAGTCTTTGCACTTTGGAGACATCTGTGAACTCTCCAGAAAGTTCTTCAAACTGGGATATTTCTACTATGTACTGTATAGGCCCTCAGAGGAAGTCATTTGGATCCTTGAGTTATTCACTCTTGTGTGTTGTGTGGTATCTTATTTACAGTTGTTTGTAATTTGACAATATTTTTCACAACAGAGGTTGGTCTCGCTGCAACCTCTAATCTGGAATTACATGGTAGCAATTTGAATTACTTTCTTCCAAAAGTGCACATATTTTTCTACCTAAGATTGAAATATGTAAAACCTATTTTCCATCCATGAACCAGAATGTTCTGACAAACTGTGTCCATCTCTGGAGGAGGATGCAATCTGTCTGTCAGTGTGATATTAACCACCAATGCGGACCATACTGAAAAGCAAAGCTATGCACACATTACACCATCATACATTCTCTTTCCCATCCGCCTTACCTTTCTCTGCTTTATTTTCCAGCAAAATGTAGATGTCTGTAGGTTTAGCTCTGACTACATTAATCTTTGTGTGGTTTTCATTAACAGTTTTTATGTACCTACTTCCAGGCTGACTGGTACAATCCTGCCCTCACCAGTGATATCAAACAAGAACTGGCTTCGGATACACTTCACCTCAGACAGTAATCATCGAAGAAAAGGATTCAGTGCTCAGTACCAAGGTATGCCACACTCTTCCCTCAGTCTCTGTTTCCCTTTTACATGTATGGAATACATACCAGTGTTTGTTTAAAGTATTACTGTGTGCTCATCTCCATGTGTGCATCTTATACAAGGAGCATCATTTGCGCAATTCTCTTGGTCCAGGTCAACTTTTAAGACTGACATAGACATAAAACACAAAAATGCAAAAGACTAATAACATCAGCTGTAGCAACAATGGCCACAATATTAATAATAGGTTAATTATTATTCACACTACTGATAATTATTATAGTTCATTAATAAATACAGTAAACAAATAGGTCTACAGAAAATTTTAAGAACAACAGAATTGCTGTTAAATTCTCTAAAGGAGATCATTAAAAACCTAAGATAACACAAAACTGAAGGCAGAAACTGTAGCATTAACAGATTTAGGCTACTTAAAACTGAACATCCATTTATTGTGAAGTTGGACAGTGGCATGCCATGAGGATAGTCAAAGGTTTTGGATCCCAGGAGTGCAGAGGAGGATGGAGAGGATGTGCTGCTCTGCTCTACTCTGCTCACTGTTTTCTCTTCATGTTACTCCATGTTCTTCTTTCCTGGACGGATGAGGCTCACTAACTCCTGAGGCTGCTTTTACAGCAGTGACCAGCAACAAACATAATTTGTCGGCTCTTAAGGCCAGCATCGAGGAGGCATTTTTAAAACCTACTTTTTACAACTTGCACTCGGGGCATAATGGATTGCCTGAATTTGCAAACTTAGAGTTGATTTGGATTTTTGTGCTTTCCAGTTTTGCTATTATAGGGAAATATAACATATTCAAACCAATCTCCATCTCACTTAACCAAAAAAGAAGAACAAGACACCTCTTGGTTTTCCTCTCTAGATTTCCGAGCAAACCTTCTGAACAAGGCCTTCAGCTGTACTGGGGAACAGTGTATGTGAATCTCTAATAAGTCTCAGGTCAGACTCTGGCACAGGTGGATGGTGGACACATCTTTACCACTTTTTCTGTAGTGTTTGACTACAGATCTAAAAACCTAATTTGATGAATGGAACCTGTAGTCGATTATTATGTTCAAGTCAGTTAGGTGTTAGTTGATGCCTCCCGTTGGGCTTGTTAGACTTGCCACACTGTGCTTTATCCCCAGTTTTATGGTTGGACACAGACATTTCTCTCAGCTCCTTACTCGGGGAATCTGCACTCTAAGAGTTCAGGTCTGTGTTTTTCCCCTTTTGTTTAAGAAAATCTTTTAATTCACTTTAGCCCCTTTTCCACTGTCTGGTACCAACTCAACTCGACTCAACTCATCTCTACTCGTTTTTGGTGCCAGGTGCTTTGGTTTCTACTTCAGATACACGATTCACAGCGATGCTGAATCTTCAGTGAAGTCACTGGCCCACTGTGGCAGAGAAGGCTCAAACCTCTTATTAATTTCATTCTAGGCCTGTTATTATGGCATTTTATTAAGTTCTGATAGTTTTCAGGTGAGAAAATAACCATCTAGTTTTCTAATATTTGGTCAATTTATCCAATTAATGACAATTACAAATTTGCACTGATGTTTTTGGAGATGTGATGACCTGCTAACATGCTTGCCAGCTCCACTTAGCAGGCACAGCTGCAGCCACTGTCGTCATATTATCACATTCAGTAACCTACATGGGCTACGTGATAAGATGTACAGTGTGGTGCTTCACGTAATATAACAGTTATATTGTATAGTAACAGAGTCTGAAGGCCTTTGTCACAATAAATTTTACCCTCTGTAACACACATGACAGAGAAGTGGCAGCTAGAAAGAAAGTCACTTTCGACTTTTCCCATTTAGAGGTCGCCGCAGCGAATCATCACACTGACAACTCCAGTGTTGACATTTGGCACGTGTTTTACGCTGGATGCCCTTCCTGATGCAACCCTGATTTGAACCCGGGGCGCAGCGGCGAGAGCGCGGTGCCTTAACTGCTAGCCTACCAGGGATGGCTCATACTATCCCCAACATGTGACTGATGGAGGCAAATAGAGCCGAGTCGAGTTGAGCTGGTACCAGGTGGTGGAAAAGGGGCTTTTGTGCCATCTGTGATTGGAATTACTCAACTCAGTTTTATCTTCACTAGCACTGTCCCCCTCTTCAAAAGTTCAGTATTCACCAAGGTGGTTAAATGAAATGTCAGATTGTTCCATTTATAGTGTCTGTTCCTTCCTTTAAAAGGTTGTGTCCAAGTAGCCAGCTCATCCAGTTGGTGCTGATGCTTCAGTGCTGTTGCTATGGTTACCTACAGTTTAATTAAATGGCATTGATTTAGAACAGCACGCAGATGCCTGGACAGGTGTGCGGTTTAGCCATGCATTCCTTAAACTATAGATTGTATATAAAAGATGGACAACACATCACCACTTCCCTCCACTAAAAAATTAAAACTTCAAAAGTAAAGCCAAAATATTTGCAAATACTTGGTGTTTTGCAGCTAGATTTTGCGCAATAGTGACTGAGCAGCAGACCTCCAGTCAAAGCTGTCAAATCATTTGTAATATACCCCTTTTTTATATCATCACATAACTTTTTAAAAGCAAACTTACCAAAAAATGACCACTTGCTGTATGTACATGTATCTACTTGATTTATCAGCATGATAATATCTACCATAAAACCACAAAAATTACCTCTGAGAAAATATATTTGAATTGTACTTTGAGTTTTTGGTTTGGATCATGTCCCATCCGCAACATGGAGGAGGCGGCTTTCATGACCTATACTGCAGCCAGCCACCAGGTGGCGATCGACTTCACGGTGGATTAACTTCTGGGAACTCTTATGTCATCTTTTATATAGTCAATGCTTCTAATCAATCTGATCAAAAGCCAGAATTTTCTTTGGCCATGGTATAATACATCACAACATTTATAATAACAAAATACATTACTGTGAAATGTGCCATTTTGCATAATGAGTACTTTTACTTTTTGTACTTCACATATAGAAAGAATGTTTTGCTAATGTTTTGGTACTTCTGCAAAATTTTGAATGCAGAGTATTTTTAGAATGTGATATGTCTGCTTTTACTTAAGTGAAAAATCTGAGTAGTTCTTCCACCACTGGCTGGTTTTATGACTTAATTTGCATATTGAGGTGCACAGTTTTATTGAACTTATCCTCAGTTATCAGCTTGGCTCTTGTCATTTGTTCTTCTTGTCATTTCCTTTTTGTCTGCCTCATCTGTATGCTTCTCTTTGTGTGTGTGTGTGTGTGTGTGTGTGTGTGTGTGTGGGAGAGAGAGAGAGAGAGAGAGAGAGAGAGAGAGAGAGAGAAAGATACTTTTAATGCCAAGTCTGTTTCTCAGTGGAGTGTGGTTTGGTTGTAGCACAGATTTTTCTGTTATCCTCTGCAATGCTGCTACTTAGTAAAAAAAAAAAACTGATGGGATAAATTTTAATGCTGTTCTCTCTCTTTTTCTCCTCTCTTGGCTTCACTCCTCTGTCTTCTAATCTCTTCTCTCTTCTCTTTTCCCTGTTCTAATTTTCAGTTTCTGCCACTCATGCTTTTGTTGTTGGTTAGTTAGAGGAAGGGGCGTGTGAAGCACTTTCAGGATTGTACACACTGATGTGCATTGAATGACAACTCTGAACAGAAAAATAAGTGCTTTAGAAAAAAGACATACAGTATCGTAATTTTAAGTCTAACAGTGTATGTATAGTGTAATCAAACTAAAACCCTTCATCTCCTTTTCCTGCCATAGTGAAGAAAGCAATAGAATTGAAGTCCAGAGGAGTGAAGATGATGCCCAGCAAAGACTCCAGTCACAAAAATGCTGTCTGTAAGTAAAATTGGTCAATTTATCCAATTAATGACAATTACAAATTTGCACTGATGTTTTTGGAGATGTGATGACCTGCTAACATGCTTGCCAGCTCCACTTAGCAGGCACAGCTGCAGCCACTGTCGTCATATTATCACATTCAGTAACCTACATGGGCTACGTGATAAGATGTACAGTGTGGTGCTTCACGTAATATAACAGTTATATTGTATAGTAACAGAGTCTGAAGGCCTTTGTCACAATAAATTTAACCCTCTGTAACACACATGACAGAGAAGTGGCAGCTAGAAAGAAAGTCACTTTCGACTTTTCCCATTTAGAGGTCGCCGCAGCGAATCATCACACTGACAACTCCAATGTTGACATTTGGCACGTGTTTTACGCTGGATGCCCTTCCTGATGCAACCCTGATTTGAACCCGGGGCGCAGCGGCGAGAGCGCGGTGCCTTAACTGCTAGCCTACCAGGGATGGCTCATACTATCCCCAACATGTGACTGATGGAGGCAAATAGAGCCGAGTCGAGTTGAGCTGGTACCAGGTGGTGGAAAAGGGGCTTTTGTGCCATCTGTGATTGGAATTACTCAACTCAGTTTTATCTTCACTAGCACTGTCCCCCTCTTCAAAAGTTCAGTATTCACCAAGGTGGTTAAATGAAATGTCAGATTGTTCCATTTATAGTGTCTGTTCCTTCCTTTAAAAGGTTGTGTCCAAGTAGCCAGCTCATCCAGTTGGTGCTGATGCTTCAGTGCTGTTGCTATGGTTACCTACAGTTTAATTAAATGGCATTGATTTAGAACAGCACGCAGATGCCTGGACAGGTGTGCGGTTTAGCCATGCATTCCTTAAACTATAGATTGTATATAAAAGATGGACAACACATCACCACTTCCCTCCACTAAAAAATTAAAACTTCAAAAGTAAAGCCAAAATATTTGCAAATACTTGGTGTTTTGCAGCTAGATTTTGCGCAATAGTGACTGAGCAGCAGACCTCCAGTCAAAGCTGTCAAATCATTTGTAATATACCCCTTTTTTATATCATCACATAACTTTTTAAAAGCAAACTTACCAAAAAATGACCACTTGCTGTATGTACATGTATCTACTTGATTTATCAGCATGATAATATCTACCATAAAACCACAAAAATTACCTCTGAGAAAATATATTTGAATTGTACTTTGAGTTTTTGGTTTGGATCATGTCCCATCCGCAACATGGAGGAGGCGGCTTTCATGACCTATACTGCAGCCAGCCACCAGGTGGCGATCGACTTCACGGTGGATTCACTTCTGGGAACTCTTATGTCATCTTTTATATAGTCAATGCTTCTAATCAATCTGATCAAAAGCCAGAATTTTCTTTGGCCATGGTATAATACATCACAACATTTATAATAACAAAATACATTACTGTGAAATGTGCCATTTTGCATAATGAGTACTTTTACTTTTTGTACTTCACATATAGAAAGAATGTTTTGCTAATGTTTTGGTACTTCTGCAAAATTTTGAATGCAGAGTATTTTTAGAATGTGATATGTCTGCTTTTACTTAAGTGAAAAATCTGAGTAGTTCTTCCACCACTGGCTGGTTTTATGACTTAATTTGCATATTGAGGTGCACAGTTTTATTGAACTTATCCTCAGTTATCAGCTTGGCTCTTGTCATTTGTTCTTCTTGTCATTTCCTTTTTGTCTGCCTCATCTGTATGCTTCTCTTTGTGTGTGTGTGTGTGTGTGTGTGTGTGTGTGTGTGTGGGAGAGAGAGAGAGAGAGAGAGAGAGAGAGAGAGAGAGAGAAAGATACTTTTAATGCCAAGTCTGTTTCTCAGTGGAGTGTGGTTTGGTTGTAGCACAGATTTTTCTGTTATCCTCTGCAATGCTGCTACTTAGTAAAAAAAAAAAACTGATGGGATAAATTTTAATGCTGTTCTCTCTCTTTTTCTCCTCTCTTGGCTTCACTCCTCTGTCTTCTAATCTCTTCTCTCTTCTCTTTTCCCTGTTCTAATTTTCAGTTTCTGCCACTCATGCTTTTGTTGTTGGTTAGTTAGAGGAAGGGGCGTGTGAAGCACTTTCAGGATTGTACACACTGATGTGCATTGAATGACAACTCTGAACAGAAAAATAAGTGCTTTAGAAAAAAGACATACAGTATCGTAATTTTAAGTCTAACAGTGTATGTATAGTGTAATCAAACTAAAACCCTTCATCTCCTTTTCCTACCATAGTGAAGAAAGCAATAGAATTGAAGTCCAGAGGAGTGAAGATGATGCCCAGCAAAGACTCCAGTCACAAAAATGCTGTCTGTAAGTAAAACCACTGTCTGCTATCTGTGTGTGTTCATAGATACCAAGACTGTATATCATTTGGACAGGCCTTTTCAGGCCCAAGTTCACACATCTGGTCACACATACACAGATGTGCATGCCCACACACACATGCACAGTACATGCACAAGGACACACAGCCTGCGTCCAACTTTGACGTAGCAGGAACAGTGATTTCATCCATTTTTCACTCGGGTGCCCTTCTAGGAGACAAGAGTTATTACCATACTCCATTGTTTTTATGTTTTCTTATTTCATTTGAAGAGTCAGAGGTTCATATGAAAGTAGTTCTATAAATAAGGGATACATAATATGTTTATTCATACAAGCAAATAAATATTTAAAATGGACTCAGCATTGGCAAATGTATTTCTTCCTGACAGCCAAGTTTTAACCTGTTCAAACTACTCTTACAATTAATTTCATAGCAAACCAACCCACAAAGCCCTCCAATAAATGCTTGTCCTTTTTGTGGTTACTAATAAGCAAACAAGCAGAAAGTGTAGCACACTATTTCAAAGCGTGAATGCTTGTAACACAGTGTCAATTCATGTATTTTTGCTTCACTCAGAAATGTGAAAACATAGTAATGCATGCACTGAGAACATAAAAAGTACGTTTTTAGTTGAGACTGAGAGAAATAGTAATTCATGTCTATGCTCCATTTGGACCCCATTGTTTGTCCAGTTGTTTAATTACAGTAGAATAAGGGCTGGCAGACACCATTCTTTTTTGAAACTACAAATAAATCAGATTTGCTGCTTGACAGTCATAATATTGTGTCAATCACTTGTACAGCCATCATGTCTGAACACCAAAAGCTGTGTTCTTGAGCCTTTGTTTTATTTCTCTTACATTGGTTTTTTTCATTTTAACTGTGAAGAAACATTCAAGTCTCCTGTTGCCACAGTCCTTGCAGCATAGTGACTCTTCTGTTGGCTGTTGCTTCCCAGTGGATATCCTTGTCTTTGTATTAGACAAGTCAGCTTTTTATTATATTCTAACTTTATACATTTCCAAAAGCTAAGTACAGCCTGGAGTGTTGGTGTAGTGTTTTTTTTTTCTCAGTCAAAGCTGGAAACATGCCCACTGCATCTTGTTCATTCCCTTTGGAGCTGTAGCCAAAAATCCAAAAGGAGACAGCGCATTCTCCATCACGTGAAGTCATTAATGGGTAAATCAGACAGAACACCAGAAATATTGTAAGAGAAATGGTAAGAGAGCGAAATGATGCAATTTATGGAGAAGATTAACGAGCGCCAAATTCCAGAATATACAGTACTGTAAGTAGAATAGATAAATACAAAAGAAACTGAAAACTTGAAAATAATCTGAACTGTGTTTTTAGTTATAGCGAGCTCTGTATAAAACTATAAAAACAAAGCTTTGTCAGCTAATGCTCCAAAATGTTTCACAAGTAATACGCCATTATTTTTTGTTTTAATGGTGATAACTGCTGTTCACAGTAGGTGTCAGTTTTCATGGTTTATTTTTGATTTGAGGTTTTAAAAGAAAAATAAAGTGGCTATGTTTAACCATTTAAGTACTTACTCAATTACAGCTTTGTGATATCTTCAAACCTGATGAGCCATCAGGTAGATATTGTTAGCAATCATTAGTTGTTATTTACGGTGCAAAGTTCATCCATCTGTTATCTATACCACTTATTCCTGAACAGGGTCGCAGGGGCGCTGGAGTCAATCCCAGCTGATACTAGGCGAGAGGTGAGGTCCACCCTGGACAGGTCAATAGTCTATCACAGGGCTGACACTTAGAGACAGACAATCGCACATGCTCGCACTCACTCCTAGGGGCAATTTGGAGTCACCAGTCAACCTAAGCTGCATGTCTTTGGACTGTGGGAGGAAGCTGGAGTCCCCGGAGAAAACCCACACAGGCACAGGGAGAACATACAAACTCTGCACAGAAAGACCCTGGGTCAGTCGGGGCTCAAACGTGGAACCTTCATGCTGTGAGGCAGTAGCGCTAGCCACTGCTCTGCTGTGCTGCCACAGTAAGAAGTCATAGCATTTATTGTGCTTGATTAGGTGATCCACATGTGGGAGGCAGAGGCATGTTGTTATGTGGCGCTCAGGAAAAATCTTTTCACTGCAGAAGCAACTAGTGGGTATCAAAGTAAACATGAACAGTGTAATGACCACAAGACAATAAAACAATTAATTTAATGATAAATATGATAAATATCTCAACAATCTGGAGTGTCAGACATTTCTTGGCAGCTTGGAGACGCCTCTTTTAATTATCATGGAACGCTGGAAAGCTCACGAAAAGCTAATTCATTCCTTAGCATTTAGCTTCCTAATAAAACCCTCATCAGTAATCCTGCTGATTTACACGCTCAGCCAAGCGTGTGCTGGAGCAATTAACATTAGTATGATATTTTTGTATGTGTGTTTGTGTGTGTATATGTGAAAAAGAAATGTTATTGCTTGTGTGCCTCTCCATGTGCTGCTACAATTAAAATTAAAACTGGTATGCATTTGAGAATTTGGATGAGTATGTGAGGAGTTCCCAGGGCAAATCTGTTTATTATATTTATCAGTGATGTGAATATCGGCTCTCACTTTCATGCACTTACACACACACACACATTCACATATGCACATACACACAAAGTTCTTCCCATGTGAGATAATTGTCTGTGGAGTCCAAAGGTTTTGCATTCACTTATTACAAGAAGGGCCAACTCTCTTTCCACAGTGGTCTGAGGAGACTTCTTTCAGACAGATTTTTAATTGAAGTAAAATTAATTACAGCATATCTTTAGAAACATGATGATTGCATGTCTCCTAAATAACTCTACATGCAGTAAAGCTCAGCTGCAAAAATATAGTCACCCTTATGACTTGTACTGCACTTTTGCACCAGGGGTCCAGTTCAGATGGCACATTGTCCTGGGTTATGTCATGATGTATAAATCGCAATTATCATCACTGGTTCTCACATACAGTATGTACTTGAAGATGATAAATGGACTTGCGCTTATATAGTGCTTTAAAATACACTCAAGCACGTTACAGTATTTTGCCCCATTGACTCACACCAATGGCAAAGCTGCCATATAATCGCTCACACACCAGTGGCCACTGGGAGCAGCTTATCTTGACCGAGCATGCATTGACATGTAAACCGGACAAGCTGTAGTTAGGGGATGTCCAGCTCTACCTCCTGAGCCACAGAAGTATCTATCCTTGTAAAATTACTGCTGCACTCTATAAAATGAGCTTTGTTATCTGTATTCATTGTGTAGAGCCAAAGAATGATGCCTGTTAACTGTGTAGTCCGCGGATCCCCAAAGGTTTTTTTTTTCCCAGCCCTGGACCTACAGTAAATGAGAAATTTAGTTTCTCATGGGACCCATGCTCATTAAAATATACTAGTGTTATCATAAGAACCAAAAATGAGTAACTGTGGACTCACTGAGGTTACCCCAAAGTGGTACAGTTGGGCCAACAGGCTGAAAACTATAATCATTAAAACATTAAAAAAAGCAACACCAAGGTTCACTTTTGATCCTGACCCAGTCTTTCAACTGCACTGCTTTACACTGTATGACTCCCAGAGGTAATATTAAAGCTGTATATGCAGTCTTTGTGCAACATATAATCATTACAAAGAACCAGAGACTGATGATAATGAGTTTTACCTGTCTAGAGAATGGAGTGCTTATGAATCATAATCTACAAGATTCTCTATAACAACCTCAAGCCTATATTAAAGCACATCCTCAAAGACAGACACATGAGAATATGCTTGAATCCATTTGAGAATGGTCTGTATATAAATAATTTCTAAATTACTGATTAAAATTCTACTTGATATTGAAGACGGATAGATAGATAAAAGACAAACATAAAGCAAAACTTGTAAAT